GGACTGGCCCCAGCACTGATTCCCCGAGGGACACCACTAGTGACTGGCCACCAACTGTTAGGAACAAATCTTGGGTTTTAATTTAATAAATATGTTTTTATTTTGCTTCTCAAAAAGTGATTTGGCAGATCATACTTAAAATTATTTTGAGGCTTCTGCATATATATCTATTTGTCATCTAATGATTATGCAAGGGAACGTGGTTGCAGTAGCTCTGACATAGAAACCCCTTGATTACTCATCCACAGTAGAAAAGCCCTGTGGAAAAAATGGCACCCAAGAGGTTATTTGGATTTGTATTTTTCTACAGGCAAAGTTTACAGACCTGTAAATTTAAATGTAGAATTTTTGTGGGCAGAATGCATTGACAAATATGCCTCACAGTAATACATCTCCTACTGATAGTCCCAGAACAGGTCAATAATAATGCTTATATTGATAGCAGCAATGCAGGAGATGTTACTTGGTATTATAGCTAAAATCCATGTTATCCCCTTAATTATAATTACATTAATATTGACAGGCTGTTGACAATACTCACATTACTATTGATAGATTTCTGTCAATAACATGTTTCCAAATAAAATATATTCATTCATAATTTCTAGAATGCTCAATAACAGCACTAATATATACCAGAAGAAATTCCTTTTTCCCTAGTGATATACAGTAATTTTTTTTGTACTGTACAAGTGGGATTGTTTATTTGTTTGAATAAAAAAGACAAAATAGACAAAATATAGGTTATTTAAGAAGGAACATTTTAGGTGTTTTTTCTGGCAGGCAATTAATGTTTTTCTATGCAATATCTTTGACAGTATAAAGTAAAGGGAGAACGTTACAAGTACCAGTCTTTACTCTTGCCTTAAAGAGTATTTATGTAAAAGGTTCATCACATATGCAGTTTATTATATATCTGAATGTTGATACCTGTCCCTCTCATTACTGTGTCTATGCTTCTGAGTTCTTAATTTTTAAGCAATTTAAAATAAGAGTTAAAACAGTAAGGATTTGACAAATACAATTTAATGAAAAAACATAGAGGAAAAGTAACATTCTTTATATTCTGTGTAACTCAGCAAAATATAGAATGCAAAACATCAAACAAGTACAAGATAAATGTCTTAAAACTTATAGGGTGTGTTTTTATCTACCTTTAAGATACTGTCGTTCTCATTTATTTCTACTAGGTACTACTGCCTGTGAAAACAATACAAACTGAAAAACAACAAATTTCTGAAAGGACTTGATATAGAAGTAATTTTTAAAGGGAAAAATTTAAAGCAAAATTGAGATTAAAATGCAGGGCTTGTCTCTCAAAGAAACAGTTGCTCTTATTCAGATCATTAGGACATTTGAAGACAATTTCATAGGACAATGGAGATTTCAGACTGTCCCTTTTAATATTTGCCTGTAGGAAGTAAATATCTTCCCTTTAAGTTCAATAAAACCTTAAATTCAGAAGAAAGCATAGTGGATAGCAGAACACTAAGCACACTGAAATGTGCTTACACATTAAAATCAGAAGTATATGGATATAGTCTTTAGGTAACTTAGAGGGTCCAGTTAACAGCCATGGTCTATAGCAAGCTTTAAATGTTCTTAACAGGAAAGAACTTCAGAGTAATGCCCATATTTATTGCTTGAATTAAGAACACTTAATTGTTCATCAAAAAGAAAGCTTTTTTTCTTTTTTTAACATAGCTATGTTACAAACATAATTTAAAAGCATCCTTATTGTTGTTTGGTATTCTTCCTGTTCTGTATAGTCTGTATAAATGTGACTAAAAGTTCAATCAATTTGATAGCTGATAATTCAGGAAGGGATATTAAACATAACACCTTTAAACAGTATATATGGTTGATTCTGTTTTTTATTAAGAAGACAGAAATTTCAAAATTTCAAAGGTTAATGAACAGTAGTTGTGCTGCTCAGGTGTGTTGTCTCAAGAGTGGTTCCCATTTTCTGTATAAAAAGTTCCAGTGCACTCTGAGAGATTCAATGAAATTACTTCCTTCAAATACACTTCTGTATAGGATGATGGACATGGAAAAAAAATCAGTTAGATTCTGCAGTGAGGCAATGGGGACGTTGAGCTCCAAGTCCCAGAGAAGATCTTTACAACATTTAGTCTACTCTCCTGTGAAAATTAGGGATAAATTAATTGCTAAAACAAATAGGTTCAAGCATCATTTGGTCAACTTTCAAGAATTTCTGTGGATGGAGATTTTGGTCTTGGTAGACAAAATGTTCCAGCTTCATTGGGTCCAATTGGAATTTCTCATTTAGTGACTTAACACGTAGTTTCCTCTCTTTCTTTTATTGCATCTCACAGAATACTTTGGCTTAATCTTCTCTGCAATCCTTAGGAAGTATAAGATTTTTCATAGACCACTTCTTAGCTGCCTTGCTTTAAGTTGAACAATTTGAGTTCCTTCAAGCTCTTCTCATATATCAGGACCTGGGGTTCCCTGATGGTATTAGTTACAGGACTCTTTTCCGTTTGTTGACATTTCTTTTGTTCTATTCATGGAAAAGAGGCAAAACTAGACTTAGTATCCCAGGTGTAACCTCACCAATGCCAAGTGGAGGGTAATATGCACGTTTTTCAGTCTGCTGGCTATACACATGGGTAATGTGCTGCAAGAATGCATTGGTGGCTTGTGTTCGGCTTGCTGTCTGTCAGAATCCCCACATCCTCTTTTTCAAAGCACTTACACAGTCATACAGGCTCCCAGCCTAAGTGTATTTCATGGTCCATCATAATCCTGTGGATTTGACACATTTTCCTTTGTCTTCAGAAAGTTCCTGATGACCCATTCGTCACTTGCTCAGGTTTCTTTAGATAATATAGCTATAATGGGGAGAAAAATCTGTATTTAGTCTATCTTATTTATGAGAAACTTAAAATAGAAATTGCTCATAGCACCTGCGGTAATGAAAAACAGTTGGAAAAGATGGTTAAACTGATGTTGGAAAATAGTTTTAGTAGATGGATCAAGGAACTTGTTTAATAAGATGTCCCTTTTGAGTAACTTTAGCATTTTTAGAGGAGGTTTTGTGTGTTTGGGAGTTATATAGAACACTGAAACAAGTAGAGCAAACTGAGACACCATTAGACTTTTAGGGGTTATGAGTGAACAACCAGTGACAGGTTCCAGAGCAGATGGCTCTGGTTTCTAAAATGGTAGTGGAGTGAAAAGATGAGGGATAGGATGGTGGATGGTCATTGGTGCTGGAGTTTTTGAAGTGATGCAGCAGAATCCAGTAGGGGTTGAATTGACCCTTTGTTCATAAATTAGAGGAGGGAAATTATTTGGATCATACTGGAAAATGTTTCCTGTGCTTTGGTTTCTGCTACAGAAAAGACTAAGTGTGAGGGAGACAGGCTTGGGTATTTAGCCTTTGTATCCTGGTTTTTCCAGCTGGTGTGGGTTCATGCAATGAACCCTATAGGTGTTTGCCCAGAGGACAAACTTATTCTTGCCTTATACTACCTTTTGCCTGCTAATATGGAAGGAGGAGTTTAAAAAAAACTGAGTGGAGCTGTTGTATGCTCTACCCATGTAGCAGTCTTAGTTAATTGGAAATTACTGTTACACACCCTACAATAAGGACAAAAATCATATTTCCTTGCAGTGATAACTAATTACAAATGTGGAAAACAGCAGGAAAGCTACAGATGATGTTTTATATTGTGTTTTAAAACTTCTGGGGTGTTCTATTTCAGCAAATATGGTTGTTCATTTGGAGGATTTTTTTTAGTATTCTTGGCATTAGCAACCATTGCTACCAAGACTCTCTGCAGCATCTTTTACTCACAGTAATCTTGTTTGGTTATAAGATTTTTCTCTTATAAATAAGAATTTAAAGTTCTACCTTCTATACTTTCTCCAGAAAGCTGTGGACTCCTTGCAGGCCTGTTACGCAAAGAATCTGGTTTAGAAAGTGAAATATGTTGCGTACTGTCTGAAATAATTTCTGAATCACTTTGTTTACAAAGGGAAGCAAAAGTTGGTTACCCCACAATTTTGCATTGAGGTGTTACCTGTATTTTGCTTTGACAATTTATTGCATTTATATCTCAATCAGACTTCCAGATGCAACGACATTTAAAACAAGCCATTTTAAAAAATACTTTAATGTTTCACTGTGATGCTTGAGCAAGAGGAGTATACGTTTGTAGAAGTTGCTAGTATACATTAATCATCTTGCCTGGAAATGTACTACGACAAGTAGCACAATCCCACACCTGTCAAAAAACACTCTAAAAAATATATGCAGACTTCAGTGAAGTACTGTATAATAATTTATGTCTGAATGCTGAATATTTCTTCAATCTCATATGATTTTTCTCTAAACAGCTCACTACCTTCATTGAGAAAATTTTACTCATTCCCAGCTTAATTTTCATCTATATCTTCCTAAATTTGTCAGTATTTCTATGGTTTTGCTTTCAGCTGTAGCAACTGAAGTGTTCATATGGCAACACTTTGTCTGCCTCACTCTTCTTTTCCAGATTTTTTGGTTAGTATGTTCATTTTCCCTGTTTCTCCATAAAATACCATAGAGTGTTACAGTTATTCCTTCTGATCTATTTTAAGGTTCAGTTGAATATTACAATTATGCCCTGCAATATTTTTTAAAAATGTATATGTACATTTATTAGTATGTATATATATGTATATATTCTGGATTTTTCTGAATATCTAGATGATGTTGAACACCTGTAACCCAGTGTTAACTGTTTCAGAGAAATAGTCAAGTATAATTTCTTCCAAAAATGACATTTTAAACTAATTTAAATGCGTACTAATTTTATATTAATATAAAGCTTCTTGAGAGGAATTGTGGCTTTTTAATAACATACTTATAGAGATTTCTGAGAACTTTGTTGTTTCTTGCCTACTGCTGGTACATTACAAGTTTGTTATCTTTAATAAAAATAGAAAAAGGATATATTCCACTATACTAAAATGTATTTGTGTTTTATTTCTAGAAAGTTTTTTTGTGAAGAAATGGCCTCCAGCATTGGAAATGAAAAGAGTGTGAATCCTGTGCTGAGAATAAGTCAGCTTGATGCTCTTGAACTAAACAAAGCCCTGGAACAACTAGTGTGGTCCCAGTTTACCAGCTGTTTTCATGGATTTAAACCAGGGGTGTTGGCTCATTTTGAACCAGAAGTAAAAGCGTTTTTATGTCTTATACTATGGAAATTCACCATCTATTCCAAGAATGCAACAGTGGGACAGGCTATTCTCAATATTCAATACAAGAATAACTTATCTCAGACAGATAAATACCAGCCTCTGAGCAAACACCAGAAGTTATGGTATCTTATTTTCACTGTTGGTGGAAGATGGTTGGAAGAAAGATGTTATGATTTATTTAGTAATCGTCAACAGCAATCTTTCTGCAAAATTAAGAGCTATATTAGTTTTGGATCTGGACTTCTCAAACTTTGTGGACTCATAAATTTTCTGATTTTTCTTCGGAAAGGAACATTCGCAACACTTACAGAACGCATTCTAGGAATTAGGTCAGTTTTCTGTAAGCCGCAAAGTGTTCGTCAGATAGGATTTGAATACATGAATAGGGAGCTCTTATGGCATGGCTTTGCTGAATTTTTGATATATCTGCTACCACTCATTAATGTACAGAAACTGAAACTTAAAATTTCCTCTTGGTGCTTGCCTATTGTAGGTCTTTCCAATAGTGAAAACACATTAGCAGCTCACTGCAAGGAATGTTCACTATGTGGGGAATGGCCTACCATGCCACATACCATAGGCTGTCCACATGTGTTTTGTTACTACTGTATTAAAAGTAATTTTTTATTTGATATGTATTTTACATGTCCTAAATGTGGCTCAGAGGTACACAGTCTTCAGCCATTGAAGTATAAAATTGAAATGACAGAGTTGCGTGTGTGATATGAGGTTGATTTAGTTGTTTTATACTGTGCATGATATATATTGAAGAGATTAATGGAAGAATTCGGGAAATTATTGAAAGCAGACTGCCTAAAGATGGTTTTGGAGACTCTGTAATTTATTGTAACATGTATTTTTACTGGTCTTGGGTTTTTATTGAGTAACAGTGCCATAATGCCCTACCCCAGTTGGCAGGTTATGGGAAAGTAGTTGGATTTGCTCTGGGTGGAGTGTGGGAGAAACAACAACATTCTCAGGAGGTACAATAAGAACTTTTACTTGCAAACTTCAGAACATTCCAATTGAATAAGGCACTTGGCAAACTTTGACTTAGCAATCTTTAACTTATCCAGACACAGTGCCATTACCAACTTAGCTAGTAGATGGATTTAGTGGGAAAGTTAGTATTTTCGTGCCTAAAAAATAATTTTAAATTTGAATTCCCAGTATGATGCTACACTAAAAAAAACCCAAATATGTAAAAAAAGGCTTAAGGAAAACGGTGCACTTTCTAGCCCTTCATGAGACGAAATCTAATTTTCTCTGGCAACTATGTCTCTGAGCTTTAATTACATATATATTGTCTTTTACCTCTTCCCTTAGAAGCTGGGGGATGAAACCCATCATCCATTGGAATGTGGCAGCTGTTCAGGTTAACCCACATTCTTCTGAGTTAGAGACACTGAAGAAAACTGTTTACTCGTAGGATGCTGTCTGTAGGAATTGCCATTCATGGGGGTTTTTTTGGTGTGGTCTTGGTGGGTGCCAAATCTCAGAGTTCACTTCCACACAGAACACAGTTATGTGCATGTTAACATACTAAAATAGATAATTTCCTGCTTTTTGCATTCATATTTGCTTTCTTAGTTGGCTTTGCAATGTTTTAATTGTTCTAACACTTCATCCATTTACTCTTCAATCTGGTTTTATAAGATTATTTTCCTTCTAATTGCAATCTTTTTTAACAGTCTTATCCAGAAGAGTCTCATTAACACAAAAACACATTATGTCCTCTTTTGAATCTTAAATTGTCAAGAACATATACAGTTAAATAAATAGCTTTATGGTGGCTCTGTTCTTGATTTGCAGTCATCAATAGTTCAGTCCCAAAAATAGCAGGGTAACAGCTGATTGAGTAATTTTGATGTACTTTTATGAAATGGTTTATTACATTCTTCATTCTACATTCTGATTAGAACAACCCACTAGCCTATTTGTTTGAAGATCTTAAATTCTAGGTTTTGATCTCTAGAGTGACACACAGTGCTTTCATCTGATGTAATTAGATATAGTTAGCAGGTGGGCAGCTCGAAACTTCATTAATTCTGCTACTGTTGTGTGAGTCAACAGACTTCAGAGCAAGTGCTTCCTGATACTGTGCTGCAATATTATGTGCTGTCAAATGTGTGTATTAGCAGCCTGCCATATTTCTGTTATTTGCTGTTGCAATTAGAACCAGCAGGTGCAAACCTGTTTTTATTAGAGTATGAAAACTGGCAAGTCATTTGAAGAGCATCCTGAAATTACTTCTTAATCCTGAAGGAATTTTGTATGAATTGTCCTTCCACATCACTTAATAGCTTTTCCCAAATAAATATTTTAGCAGCCCTGACTTCAAGGTGATCTAATGTCTCCAGAAACATTATCAGCATTTTTGGTACATTGGTCTTTAACCATGTTTATTAATTAAAACTTGTATGCGTCCAAAATCCAGTGTTTGTAGCGTACAATCACAGCAGACGTTTGTTTACTGTGGACTCTTCATTTATTCTGAAGTCTCAGAGCAATATTTTATCAAAAGAGCATGGTTTCTCTGTATTGGCCTCTGCTAGGTGTCATGTCCTTCTTATGGAGGAGTTAGCTTCTTTCCTATTTAGATATGTTTCATTTTCCTGAATAATAAAGAATGTTTTCTTCCTTTTTCGTTCCACCTCCTTCTGTCCTGCTGTTTGATATGCGTAAGCTATATGAATTTCCTGGGGTTTGTTTTGTCTCTTACAGCTTCATGCAGGTAAAGTTTGTACTCTGTTTTTCATCCCTGTTACACTATCAATGCAAAACCTGTTTCGAGCAGTTTAGTACCTCTATTGTACAGCTGTTTTCTGCTAGTTCTGCTATATTGCACTTTACTGTTTTGTTGGGTTTTTTCTGGAATTAAACTTTTAATACTTAACTTATGCCTGATTTATTATAGCAAAGCGTTGGCCTTCTTTTGCAGCACCTCCTCATCACTATGTTCGGTTTATGTTGGGTTGTAGCCCATAGCATTAACAAAGTTTGTAAAGTCTGTGTCTTGTGGCATAAACAGGTTTTTTTTAATCCTAAGATCCTAGATCTTAAGGTGGGGGTTTAGTTCTTTTATTTTCCATGCAAGTAAGCAGGTACCAAGCATCTCACAGAAGTAGGTGGTTTGGGAAAAGAATGGTTGTTTATGTCAGATGCAGATTTTTTTAAATCTCCCATATGGTAAAATCTTTGCTCAGTTGTAGTTGCAGCTGAGATTAATGAGGGCAGGGTTCCAACTTGAATATTGAAAAACTACTTGCTAACCATCTTACCTTTTTAGTACTTCAAAATCAATATTCAGCATTTTCCTGAAGCACTTTAAATATATACTTTAAAAAATATTTTAATTCTGTTTTGTAGTGTTTTGTGATCTATAAGCTGCAGAAGAGTCTTAGTTGAAGATATTACAGGAAAAAAATCAGATAATTTGTAGACTAATCAAAGGATAATTAGTTTTACATATTAATTAATAATTTGTCCTCATAAGCATTATATTTTTCAGGTTTAAACTCTTCTTTAACAAAGGACTGCTACATCTGGTCCTACTTCCTGCAGAAAAGTGAATAAAATTTGTTTTGGAATGTTAATTTTTTTAAAAGGGGAGTTTAGTGTTCAGCTACCATTCGAATGTACTTTGAGTAGTCCTATGTGCATCAGTGAAAATGAAGAATGCTTGGAATTTAAGGAAGCTAAAGGACCAGAACTTCTATTCAGTCTTGGATAGGAGTTACAGCCTGGTATTACCAGTTTTCTTTGTGCTCTGTTGACTTTGCTACATGAACTTTTTCATTATCAAAAATCAAAAAATGAAGGCATAAATGAAACAGACTAATTACATTAATAAACATTCTAGAAAGCTTTTCATTTCTTCATTTGATTGAGAATTACCAGTTGCCACAAGGTGTGATTCAAGAGACATTAAGATGAAAGGAGTCGGAATGCTGGTTTTTACTTCCACAAACAGTCACCATTCCATGTACTCTCTATGTTTTAAGGGAGGTCTTTCATAAGTAATTTTATAGAAGACTGAAAAATGGGAGTTTCTGTAAAAGAAATGAGAGGGATAGTATTTGATTTCTGCCTTACCTGGATATACTTAATTATGATGGACAGGGATGATCTCAGCATTAATAAGGAGACGATGTAAAGAAAGATGAAAGATACATATCAGCTAAATACAATCTATTATAATGTCCTTATTTGAGAATACTAATGCAGTTGTTTTCTGGCATGTGTCATTCTTATGTAAACCAATTTGACAAATAAATGATATTTTTAAACAGGAGGCTGTGAAATTTGTCTTTTCCTTGGAGAGAGATTTTTTTTTTGGAAGGGTGGATATTTCTTACTCAGTGGGTGACTTCATACTTTGCCATTTATGAGAATAAAATGCAAAGTGAAAAACTAGTTTAGACTTCTCTTTAAAATTTTCTTCAGTTTTAGGTTTAAGCAAATTATCTTTTTTCACTTTTCTTCTTTTGAGCAGATTAGTCATAGGTGTTACACTCTCCTGTGTGTTTGCTAGGAAGCTGTATTGGCTTGTACTGAAAACATAATATTGTGGTATGACTAGGTACAGGATAGGGTTGTGCCCAGACAGATAATAAAACTCATGGTCATTTGCTTTTCATACAGGTTGGTAGCCTGAGCTGCTGCAAGTCACAGTACATATCACCAGAAAACAGCAGAAGGCAGTTTCAAAATGGTGCTTCAACCCCTTACCTATTTCCCAGAGGAACTCTTAGTAGAGTTGGTTAACTTCTCGAGAGAGTTTTACATGCTGACAACATTAAAACATCCACCTAAATTGTTACCACAGTCTTAAGTTTCTGCCATTCCAGGGGAGTCCACTTCCAAAGCAAGAAGCTGGCACAAACCTGGCAAAGTGGCCAAATATCATTCAAGGAAAAGATATTTGTGGGCAGAATCCCTCTCAGACTGGCACCAGATGAATGACAAACATGCACAGGCATGTTTGTAGAGCATCTGCTAAATCTCTTCTGTTCTCTAGAGCACACCTGGGTTTTTAAAATTCTCAAACTTAACTGTTGATCTGCATACGAAAATGTAGCTCTATTTCAGATAAAAGGTGTGGGCACACCTGTATAGCAGCATGTGCAGGTAGTTCTATGTCTTGCAGGCAGTTTCTAATAAGTGCAAAATCCTTAGCTGTATATCTCTCTGATCTTGGGTCTCCTAATAGAACAAACTGGTGCAAAGTATGATAAAGTTGGCCAGTGTGCTACCATTCATTTCATATATGTCTACTTTCAGGGACATATTTCAAGAATATTTCAGGGGGAAAAAAGGTAGTCAGTCTTGTAAATGCTCTGCATTAGACTGCATTGAAAGAGCTGTAATGGAAAACTAGTCATAGCACGTTGGAGTAGCTCAGGAGAGGGCGGGAAATCTGACTCTTCTGCCATTTTTATATTCATTGCAATCTTCTTTCTAACTTCTTGACTGCATAACTGGCAACTTTCATTAACATGACCAAAGTATCCTATCATGTTCCCTAGCTTTTAGTGACTTGCCAATAGCTGGTGTGCCATCTTGTTTGAAGCCTACCTAAATAGTCCTTCAGGACACACTGTGCCAAGGAAATAACCTTAGATAGCATCTCTAGATGGTGCGATCGACAGGGATATGTCTGATGCAGTAACTGTGTCAAGGACAATCTTTGGAGATATATTGTCTTAATGTAGAAAAAGTCACATCTTACAGGTTCAGTAGAAGTCTTTAGGTACCTGATTCCCTAACAAGATGGCTCACCTACCCTCTGTAGTTAGCTCTCCTTTGTGGTCTGAAGACAGGGTGCAGAAAGGATCAGAGTTTTCTGCCTAGAGGGAGGGCACTCCCTGGGGATAGGCCCCTAGGAGAGTGTCTGTTGCAGCAGGCAAAGACAGTAAATTGCATCTGTGGCAGTACTGACTCTTACATGGGAATATATATTACCTCTGAAGACTTGCAAAGAGTTTTGAAACTTGTCCTGTTTTATTGAGGTCTACTGCCTGTTACATGTATACTCTGAATGAATTCTCTCCTATTGTACCCAGTTTTGATATAAAGTCTTTAGTCATGGTTGTGCATGGTGCAGTAAGGGACAATGGGTTTGGTATTCTGGATGGTGACACCCAGTTTGTTACTGGTGATCTTCATCTTAATTTCAGATGCATTAAGCCACAACAGGAGTTATGAACACACAATGTGAGAGCCAATTATTTGGGTAGAGATGCATGGCTTATGACAAGGCATAAGACGTGTGTGCATAATGCAGACCCAGGGCTAATTTAGCTTTTCTTAACATGCTTTTGTGTCTGATTGCACTTAAATATTAAGTTTCTTATGAGTGACCACCATAGCTGCTAAACACTCCATCATTAATAAAAGCTATGTGTATGTGCTATATTTGATAACTTCTAATTCCAGCTTCTTTTTACTCAGGCTGCTTCCAAAGATTGTGGATCCCATGGATTGCTCCACCTAATAAAGTCACATGGTTCAAAAATAGAGAACAAATAGTGACCATTTATTCAGGATACTTTTCATAACATCGCTATGACTGCTATACTACCAATAAAAACAATCCATCCCTGATTTATTCTGTTATTTAAAAGGATAAGAATAGGACAAAACTAGAGGCAGGTGCTA